CCCCCCCCCCCTCCCCCTCTCTCTCTCTCTCTCTCGAATGTGGGTTACTCCGGAGACTAACTTTCAAGGCGGAGCCCATAGGCTCCGTCTTAATCGCTGCTTAATCACCACCGAGATAAACTTTGTGAAATTTATTCGAGATGTTTGGCGGTTGAAAATCCTCCTTCAGTTCAGGAAAACGTTAGCTTCGAGAGAAATTCGTTGATCCCTCGTAATGCCGACGTTGCCGTAGACGATTAAACATTTATTACAGGACCGCCGACGTCTGCAGACAGCGAGAATTCGAACAGCGAATATGATATGGTACGCGTTTACATATGGCCTGGAGGGAAAACGTTTCAATGTTTCACGTTTGCGTGAGTGATTAGTGTGGCAGCCCAGTGGTACACGTATACCAGTGCAGGATTAACTTCGTAACTTCGCATCCAGCAAGACTAATTCTGAATATACGGCTTTCGAACTTTGACTGCTATTGGAAGACCTTCCGAAACCTTCCTTCCTTTCTATCACGTACATAACCCAAAGATACAATATCGTGCCATAAATAATATAAGCCCATAATGCTCCGATTCTTTCATCTATAATTAAAGTTCATTTTTTTTATGTATTCATACATTACGTTATTAAATTCGATTAATCTTCCTACTCGCATTATATCGTAAATATAATATGTACTTTTTGTATTTCTATTCAATTCTTTCTTTAATCATATACCTAACAAAACAGCATTCTGATTGAATACTTTTCTTTTAATGCAGTTTCCTTCAGATATGAAACATTTCAATTTGTGCAACTTCGCGATAATTTGAAGAAATTCGTATTTGTCGCTATCGTGGATTCGCTTTGTGAATAAAGTCGATCTGATTATTTAAAAAAAACCGTCACGAACGTTTTTCAGATTAGTAGAAAAACGTTTCGCGATAGGTAATCGGTCGCGTTTCGGTACCGCCCATGTACCTTAGCTTTGCCGTGCGCGGGTTCCGTGCTCATCCCGAGGTAAATTAGGTTCGTCTGCTCAAACGGCAGAAAGGCAGTTGCCTGATGGAGGAGGGTCATACTCAATGTCGACAGTGGTTCCTCGTCCAGTCCTCCCCCTCCCCCCCTCCCACACGTTGCACAACCCGCGATGTAGCTTCAGTGGAGCGCCGAGGGCGAACTATAGCTATCAATCAAGCACATGCTTGCAACTTGCAACAGCACGTTTCCCGGGAACGGCAATTTTGTCATGTTGCAAAAATTGTATTTTGTTGCTTTTAGCTTGAACATCAAGTTACCTCAAATTCCTTTGCGTATTTTTCCGAAGACTTTTACCGCAAAGATAAATGTACAAAGAGAGAGAAAAAGAGAGAGAGAGAAAGAGATGAATTTTTAATACCTAGTCAATACAATTCTACATTTTTCCGACAAATTCTTATTTCACTAGCTGGTTTATGCTACGTTTGAAAAATTTAATTTTGGATCAATTTTAGTTTGAATATTCCACGAGTTTTTGAATAATTCAATATATAGAGCAAGATTGATATACGGCGCATTATCGCGAAACTGCTGAAAGTAATAAAAAAATCTAAACACTTTAAAACTGGAAACTTCGCTACTTTTGTCAGAGAGTATTTAATCTCGCACGGACGCTCGTGTGTCAGGGTAGATTTAAGTTTCATCTTGGTTTCTTTTCCTTAAAATTTAGATAGCTGAAAATAGATTGGTATAAATTGCAGATAGCAGAGTGAAAATCAGAGAAGGAACATTTGCGGTATCGATAAATCCAAGACCAAGCCTATAGTCATGATTGTGCATCATGGATACGCAATTTTCTCGACCACCGATTTCGCTCTCGACGTGATTAGATCACAGAGAAAGAGATAAAAAGTCTCGGCTTTATCTTGCTCGTGAGTTTTTACGTTCCGTAGGATGAGACGGAATTAAAGTCTCGATGGTCCTCCGATATCGACGTAATCGTCTTGTTTTCTTGTTTGCAACGAAGGAGCGCATGTAACGGATATGGGCTGAAAATTGCGTTATAAATTGTTGCTCGACATTTTGGTGTGTGTATATACGATATATACGATATACATATACAGAATGCTCCAGGCATTTCGCCCTTGCATCGCTGCGCATCGCAGCAGTTATCCCGCATCAAATTCGCAATGAGAAACGAGGACGGTGGGGATTTGTGCAGTCAGAGGAGAAATTGGGTGCTTTCCATTTTATGCATGCAGCTACACAAGTTGACACAAGGTTTATTTTATCTTTCTTTAATACTCAATGACAACAAAGATAGAACGACATTTGTGTCAACTTGTGTCGCTAAATGGAAAGCACACATTGTCGCGGTATCGTGCGCGCGCGTGCGACGTCTTCTTAAATTTCGCCCCTCGTTGACATATACGTCGCACAACTCGTCCCGATACGCTTGACAAATGTCGCTCGCCCAGCGCGGCGGCGCGGGCGCAATCTTTTTCCGAGTGGTAAAGCTACAAGCTTTGTACCGCCTTACAGTGACAAATGGTCCCAATAAGGAAACTGTAAGACGCACTTGTCGGCACAACGTCGGCGACGGTGCGGTCACGATGCGGCAAATTGCAATTGCCTCTGTTTCCATCCGCGATAGCGCAACGAATGAATTCGTGCGATAGAAAATAGCCGGGCCGACCGCTCGTGGTAAATGGTCATTCGAGAACAATAAAATAGAATGCAGTAACATATCCTACATTGTTAATCGCAAGAGCACGAGGTAAAATCATATAGTCGTAAACGCTCGCCACGTCGCGCATACTTTTAATAATACCAAAGCGACACGCGCCACGTACGTTCAGTTTAATATATTTAATTTTCTTTTAATTAACGCAACACATCTGCCAAACTTTTGTTCCTCAATTACCAATTATGCTCTGTTTACAGCTCAATCGCTGTTTTTACAGTGTGCTTTTCATTTAATGACACAAGTCGACACAAGCACTTCTATTTTTTTTCACACAAGAAATTCTATTTTTTTTTCACTGGATATTGGAAAAAGACAGAATAATACTTGTATCGCTAAATGGAAAACATCCAAATTAGCATTGTATAGAAAGCGTTACAATGGAAATTATTGTTTTTTAACCCTAATTATATATATCAAAATGCACGGAGATACCCTCAGAAAACATCAAGATTTTAAAAATATTTAAAAGATCTTATTAAAGATATCCTCAAGATATTTCTAAAAGATACCTGAAAGTTGTCTAAAAAATATTTAAAAAAAAATTGAAGCTATTATTTGTAGCATTTCGATATCTTTAGACACCTGAAAATTGATATTTTAAAAAATATCTTTAAGATATTTGTAATAAACATGTTAAGATATACCTATCTCTTCTAAAAGATGCCTTTAAAACATTTGTAGAAGATATCTGAAAATTGTCTAAAAAATATTTAAAAAGATTTTGTTACCGCTGGTTGCTGATAGATAGACGTGGCGAAGTTCTATTATAAAAAGAAATCATACAAAGTAAAATAAAACGCCTATTATTATTTTTCAGTAGCATTTCAATAAAATTTTGATAAAATAATGTCTTCAAGGCAAATCTTCAAAATTGGGAGGCTATAGGATGAAAGCAAATAAAGTATATTTTGACAATATAACTTCGTTTAGTTCTATGTAAAAGTTAATTTAAGACATCTTAATGTTCTCTGAATGTTATTTATTTAAGATGTTTTAAGGTTAAAGATATCTTCCAGATATCTAAAGAAATTTTTTAAATATTTTAAAATGTTATATTAGATATCTTTTAGATTTCTACAAAATGTCTTCAAGATGTTTTCAGATATCTCAAAGATATCTCAAGTTGTTAAATTGCTTGCCAATTTAATTTGTAATATTACTTCGGATTCAGTTTAAAACAGTGTTTCAAGACCGACAAATATTCAGCGCACAGTTTGCTTGAACTGGAGATTGCTGCAAGATTTATGTAAAAATATTATTAAGCACCCAGGTCTGTTTTTATCAGGAGACGCGGTAGCGTCTCCCGCCAAGTATATTTTTTCGCTACATAACGGTCAGGAAATATTTTTGTACTTACATCAGAGACGCTACAGTGTATCCTTTACCGGACGGATAACGTTTCTATAGCAATAAATTATTATATCTTTTAATTATATGAATATTATCGGTAAATGCCTATTTTGTGAAAAAGTCTATAT